CTCCAAAGCCACAGAGAAACCCTGTCTCGAGAAAACAAAAAAAAAAATTTTAAAGTGTGCACCATTACACACGGCACGGTCTCCCTTTGCACTCCTCTGTGGCCTGGAGCTTGCTGTGGAGACCAGGCTGGTACACTTGCTATGTTTCTCCTGCCTCTCTGAGTACTAGGATTGCAGGCCTGGCTAGTCCTGACATTTTAAAATTTCATATTACTGGATTTATTTTACTCTTTAAAACGTGCTGTGTTTTCCCTGTGTGTCTGTGTGGGCACTTGTATGCTTATGTGGTTGTGAGTCCCAATGCTAGGAGGTGGTCTTAATGGCTGAGACACCTCCAGTCCCTCACCTTACATTTTGTTGTTTGTTTGTTTTTTCCAGACACGGTTTCTCTGTGTAGCTTTGGAGCCTGTCCTGAAACTCGATCTGTAGACCAGGCTGGCCTCAAACTCATAGAGATCCACCTGCCTCTGCCTCCCGAGTGCTGGGATTAAAGGCATGCCAGCCAGTTCTTTTATGCACAAAAAAACACATCCTGGTTGACACACTTCGGTTAGCAAGAACAGCAAGAGGCAAAATTACAGAAGTGAAAAAGCTAGGTTAGTACACTTAGGGACTTTCCTGGGTCCTGGGTCCTGGACTGTGGACAGTTTTTGATTGGCTAGATTTTGTCTTTGTTCCAGTTTTGGTAGATGTTGGGGCCCCTGTGCTGTAAGGTCGGAATGATGATTTCAACATAGTGTCTGTCAGTTGTACTAAGGACTGGGGGCCTGATACATATATGAATATACATATACATATACATACATACATGCAAAATACATAATCCATGCTGCATATTGTATTACTCAGGGTGGAATGAATATATTTAAAAGGGGTCTTATTAGAGTGGCTCACAGGCTGTGGTCCAGCTGATAAAACCATGGCATTCTGCCATAGCACGATGCATAAAAGACCCACAGACAGATATTGGGGTTCAAGCTGAAGATCAGAGAAGCAAAGCCACCAAGCCAGTAGATCTTGCCTCTACCCAGCTGAAATGGCAATCCTGTCCTCACGAATCCTCAGAGGCAAAAGCTCTCAGTTCCTGTCTCCTCCTCCTTTTATTCCTTTCTCCCCCCAGCCATGTCCTCTGTCTCCACCTCCCTACTGCTGGGATTAAAGGCGAGTGATCCCAAGTGCTGAGGAGATCCCCTTTGTGTGAGCTGTTTCTTTTACAACTGGGTCAATTTCCTGTAGTCAATGTGGCTTTGAACTAACAGGATCAGTCTACCTCTTAATCCTAGTCCTGGGATTAAAGGTGTGTGTGCCTGGCTTCTATGACTAACTAGTATGGCTGCTTTGCTATTTTGATCTCCAGTGGCTTTAATAAATCATAAACAATATATTACCACAGTCTGCCAATGTTAAGTCCAAAAATCCAGTTTTTGTTTAGTCCATGAGGCTGGGTGTCTCAGCCAGTCTTTAGTGTACAGCAGAACTCTGGAGAAGTAGATTATAATGCTGGGGAAGCTGGACTTGCCAGAGAGAGGGCAAGCAGACAGAGAGTGCTTGAAGGGACTGCAGCCAGCCCAAGCCTGGCAAACACCGTTCTAGTAGGGCTTGCCCTTCTCCACTCCCTCTGCCCTGCTAAAAACTGTTTAGGCCATTCTCCACTCCCTCTGCCCTGCTAAAAACTGTTAGGCCACATCCCTAAAGCTGCCACCAAGCTCCCTTAGCCACTTCCTCCTGAGGATGACTACCAACACCCAGCTATCCAAGTCTTCACGTCCAGCAATCAGAAGCCTCCTTTAGTTACCCTAATTAACACGCCCAATCAGAAGCCTCCTTTAGTCACCCTAATTAACACGCCCAATCAGAAGCCTCCTTTAGTCACCCTAATTAACAGCCCAATCAGAAGCCTCCTTTAGTCACCCTAATTAACACGCCCAATCAGAAGCCGCCTTTCGTTACCCTAATTCACACGCCCAATCAAACACCTCATCTTTTTTTTTTTTTTATGAGACAGGGTTTCTCTGTATTGTTTTGGAGGCTGTTGGTCCAGCCTGGCCTCGAACTCTCAGAAATCTGCCTGCCTCTGCCTCCCAAGTGCTGGGATTAAAGGGGTGCGCCACCACCGCCCGGCCCAAACACCTCATCTTAACACGGGGTTTGCTTCTGTGCCGTGTCTGTCTCCCTCTCCAGAGGCCGTTCTCTGTCCCTCTAGGACAAACACACCTTTCCCCTCCGCTCTCATCCCTATCTCCCTTACCACCACATCCTAGCTCGTTCTATCACAGACCTCCCTTTTTTCTCTCCTTAAAAATTGCATCTGCTGGAGGAAGAGGGGGGAGGGAACAGGTGGAGAGGAGGGAGGGGAACCTGCAGTTGGTATGTAAAATAAGTGAAAAATGTTACTTAAATAAAATTTTAAAATTACACTACAAGATCATTAGCTGCTGTTTTCGCCTGAGTCAGGAAGCAGCCGCTTTAACTTTGCTCCCCCACTTACTAAAGGAGCTCTCTGTGGAAACAGATGTTTGGGTGTGGTCTATGACTAATCGGGGTCCAAGGGGGAGCCCCCCGACCCCCGTGTGGGATCCCCTTCATCACTTTCTTCTTCCATGTGCTTTATACAGGCTGCCAGTGGGTGGGGTCCAGATTAAAGGTGATGTTTCCCCTCAAAAGATCTGGATTAAAAGTGGTTCTCCCCACTTTAAACCATTTAATTAAGAAAACAATCGTTCACAAGTGTGCCCAGTTGGGGTTTCGTTGATTCTAGATGGAGTCAAACTGACAACCAAGAATAGCCATCACAGAACATAATCAGAGAGCGGGGTATGGCCGCTGAGGTCTACCACTCAGCACTAAGGGACGCTGAAGCAGGACAGACACAAGCTTCAACGTGGCTTACACAGGGAGACCCTGTCCGCAGCAGCAGAGGCCGGCTCCCTGGACACCCAGGAAAAGGAGCAAACGCACAGTTGTAATCTCTCCACTTGCTGGACACAGCATACAAATAATGTCCTCCAAAACAACTGCCAAAGGAAACAAAACAAAAACCCCAGCCCATTTGTGATCCCAGTAGTTGAGAAGTAAAGCTAGGTGTGGTCACACACCTTTAATCCCAGCACTTGAGAGACCAAGGCAGTTGTGTCTCCCTGAATTCAAAGCTAGCCTGGTCTATAGAGTGAGTTCAAGGACAGCCAAGGCTACATCGAGAGACCATGTCTCAAAACAAAATAAACAAAAAACAGTTCCAAGTCATCTTCTGCTACATAGCAAGTTTGAGGCCAGCGTGGCCTCCATTAAAACCCCGTCACTAACAAAACAAGCCACACGCTTGACATCCAGGTTCTCTAGATGCTGAAGCAGAGCCCAGAGAGGGTCTACATAGCAAATTCAAGGTTAATCAGACTCATGACCTTCTGCTCTCAAACCCACACAAACACAGGAGTTATGGCCCAGAGAGATGACTCAGCAGGCAAAGGCTCTGGTCTACAAGGCTGAGCACAGCGCTTGATTCCCGGAAACCCACAGGTGGAAGAGACCCAAGATGTCCTCTGACCCCGCATGTGTGCTCTGGCCTGTGTACACGCTCACATACACATACAGGTGAGTGATTTCTAATGTAATTTTTAAGACTTCTAAACCAAGCGGTAGTGGCACCCGCCTTTAATCCCAGCACTCAGGAGGCAGGGGCAGGCGGTGAGTTCGAGGCCAGCCTAGGCTACAATGTTACACAGAGAAACTCTGTCTTGAAAAACAAAAACAACAAAAGACTTAACCTTTCCAGACAGGGTATCTCTTCCTAGTCCTGGCTGTCCTGGAAGTCACTAAGTAAACTTGGCTGACCTCGAATTCAGAAATCCTCCTGCCTCAGTTTCTGGAGTCTGGGTGTAGGGAAAATGGACCAGTCAAAGAAACACACCCTGGCCGGGCGTTGGTGGCGCACACCTTTAATCCCAGCACTCGGGAGGCAGAGGTAGGAAGATCTCTGTGAGTTCGAGGCCAGCCTGGTCTCCAGAGCAAGTTCCAGGACAGCCTCCAAAACAATACAGAGAAACCCTGTCTCGAAAAACCAAAAGAAAAAGAAAAAAAGGGAAAAGAAACAAACCCTGAGCAGAGCCAAAGAAACACACTTTGGCCCTGCAACCAGAACTAAAGAAATGCACACTGACCCTGAAACCAATGCCAAAAGGCTAAAAAGGACCAGAGAAAGAAACACACTTTGGCCCTGAAACCAGAGCCAAATCTGATCCTAATCCTGTGCAGAAAACTAACCAATCCCTGAGCAGAGCTCTAGCCAATCTGAGCTCAGCATTAAAATCTAACCAATCCCCACCCTGGAAGCCCTATATAAACCCTGTGTCTGTTCAGCTGTGTCTGTTCGTGACAGAGGGCAGCCACTCTCCTGGATTCTTCCCTCCCAATAAACCCCTTGGATGAGCTTTGGCTGAAGATCTTCTTTTGCGGTGGAGGCGACGGAGCAGAGGCGACCCTGAGCAGTGCAGAGCAGAGCGAGCAGGGCTGTAATACTCTTGCCAGGGAAACCTTCCCTTGGCAGAGCGGAGTTGTTACACTCAACTCTCCAGGAGCAGAGCTGAACTGTAGCAACTTCGCCCTAGAAACCTCCTGCCGAGCAAAACTGCTACACCGGGCGAACATCCCCAGCTGGAAGACCCTGTCCTGCTGGAGGGAAGCCTTCCCCTGAGGCAAGTCTGTAAGCTGCTAAGCTTACTGCAACCTGTGGTGGTCCTTGGCTCCCGAGCTCCAGGATACCCATCCCAACCCCATCCAGCCCGAAATGCCTACACTGGGTAACTGTAACTTTTTAAATTGAAAAACTACAGTAATGACACCGAGAACACAGTAAAGCAGATGCCCATAAAGTCGGAAGTGGACGCCAGACACAAGCGCTGCTTTAGACCGGCCAGGCTGTGGGAAGCTTCCCACCGGGCGTGAGAGCGGAAGTGTGCCAGAGTCGCAGACCGGAGTACGCAGACGTCTCTCCTAGCCGACCAATCAGAAGGAAGCGGGGCGGCGCCGGGCGGAAGTACGGTGTACAAGCAGGAAGTGTGGCGGGCAGAAGCGCTCGGTGGGCAGAGCTATGGAGGCGTACGAACAGGTGCAGAAGGGCCCCCTGAAGCTGAAAGGCGTCGCGGAGCTCGGCGTGACGAAGCGGTGAGGCCCGGGAGCCCGCGGTCTGTCCCTAAGGGCGACCCCGGGCTTCGACCCCGCTCACCGCCCCTCTCCCCCAGGAAGAAGAAGAAGAAAGACAAAGACAAGGCCAAGCTGCTGGAGGCCATGGGGACGAGTAAGAAGAGCGAGGAGGAGAAGAGGCGTTGCCTGGACAAGCGCACGCCGGCGCAGGCGGCCTTCGAGAAGATGCAGGAGAAGCGGGTGAGCGGAGGGCGGGCAGGCCGGCCCGTGTAGCCCAGGCCTTCCCCCAACCCCCGTGTAGCCCAGGCCTTCCCCCAACCCCCGTGTAGCCCAGGCCTTCCCCCAGCCCCCGTGTAGCCCAGGCCTTCCCCCAGCCCCCGTGTAGCCCAGGCCTTCCCCCAGCCCCCGTGTAGCCCAGGCCTTTCCCCCAACCCCCGTGTAGCCCAGGCCTTCCCCCAACCCCCGTGTAGCACAGGCTTTTCCACAACCCCCGTGCAGCCCAGGCTTTCCCCCAGCCCCCGGTGTAGCCCAGGCTTTCCCCCAGCCTCCGGTGTAGCCCAGGCCTTCCCCCAACACCCCCTATAGTTTGTAGTTCTGCCAAATTTAGCATTCGTGCCTACTAGGGTGGTAGGCGGGTGTCACCACTTTCCACTAGCTGTTGATAACCACGTTTATTGCTCCTAAGTTACCACAAAGTCTGTTTCCTTAACACCTTGCTTTAGTAACTTCAAATGGGTTTGTTGTTGGGGAGGTGGTGTGTGTTGGATGGAGCTAGACTCTCCTGGAACTAGCTGCAGTTGGCCTTGAACTCCCACCTCTGGTTCCTGGAATGACTAGTGTGGCCCACAAGGCCATGCTAGTTATTTTGGGTGTTTTGGCTTTCTTTTGTTTTTGAGGCACCATTTGTCCGTGTAGTTCAGGCTGGCATCAGACTTACTCTGTAACCAAGGGCAACCTTAGACTTGCAATCTTCCTGCTTGTTGGGATGACAGGCACTCAACGCCTCCTTAAGTTATTCTCTTACGATTAGAAATCATGAGGGAGAGGAGAGGTCAGAAAAAGACAGGTTCAGACTGTAGACGGGAAATAAGCCCAGTGTGTGGCTCGCTTTTTGCAGTGTAGGAGGATTGCACCCAGGGCCCGGTGCGTGTCCCAGCAAAGCCACCCGCCCCCGGGTCAGTGGTCCTCTGAAGGCAGTCCCTGTCTCCCAGATGAGGGTCTGAAGGCGTTTGGAATCCTCTGTACAGAGATTGCACTGGCATCTAGTGGGAAGACCAGGGCCACTGCCACACCTCTACAGAGAGAGAAGGGATTTTCTCCAAATATCGGGCTGAGCTGAGAATCACCGCCTGCTGTTTCTTTTTTTTTTTTTTTTTTTTTTTTTTTTTTTTTTTTTGGTTTTTCGAGACAGGGTTTCTCTGTGGCTTTGGAGGCTGTCCTGGAACTCACTTGGTAGTCCAGGCTGGTCTCGAACTCACAGAGATCCGCCTGCCTCTGCCTCCCAAGTGCTGGGATCTTAGGCATGCGCCACCAACGCCCGGCTCCGCCTGCTGTTTCTGTGCCTGGACAAAGTTCCTGAATCGCCTGGGTCTAACTTCCTCGTGCATGTGGGCTGGCAGGACAGGCCTGGGTCTGCTGTCTCTGCCACCTCTCAGAGGGACAGTCCATAGCGGAGAGGAGGGCTGAAGCCACCCTTGCAGGGGTGTGGTGAAAACTGAGTTACAAGTGACTGCTTCTGTCCCCTGTCACCTGAGGTCCCAGCTAGGGCTGACATTCAACCACCAGTCAGGGTGAGCAGTTGGTGCAGCCAAGAGTGATTGCAATGAGGGCAGCTGGCCTTCGAGGACGGATAGCAGGTTAGATCCTGTCGGGGAGAAAGAGGGTGGAGGTGAGGAATGGAGCGGCATCTGTGAGCCGGGAGTGGGCACTGTGCGCTCCAGGCCAGTCTGGGCTGCAGGGTGAAACCCTTCTCAAGAGGCAAAAGCGTCTTTGGAGGACGCAGTGATCAGGCAGCATGCACTCCTCCCAGGATCACTTATCGCTCACCTCGTTCTTTGTAATAGAGTCCAGTCATGCCACTGTTTTTTGTTTGTTTTTGTATTTTTGGTTTCTCTGTAACAGTTCTGGCTGTCCTGGAACTTGCTTCGCAGATCAGACTGGTCTGGTCACAGAGATCCACCTGCCTCTGCCTCCCAAGTGCTGAGATTAAAGACGTGGGCCACCACCGCCCGGCCTGTATTTTTTTTAATCATATTTATTGTTACTAGTGTGTGTACTGGAATGCTACAGTATGTTTGCAGAGGTCAGAGGACAACTTGTGGGGTCAGCTCACTCTTTCCACCATGTGGGTCCCCAGGATAGAACTCAGGTTGTCAGGTTTGGTGGCAAGTACCTTTACCTCACTGAGCATCTCCCCATCCGCAATCTGTTTCTTAATCTTCAACCCACCTCAAGCATTCACATTCAGAGTTGGGTCCTCATTCAGTATTTGTGGCCCAAGGACAAGAGTGGGGGAGGCACAGACAGACAGACAGACACGGGTGAGGTGGACTAGGAGCCACCTCTGGACTCTGAGCCAGCTGTGTTCCATGAAGAGCAAACAGAAAAGGACAGCTGGGTGGCAGTGGCCCACGTCTTCAATCCCGGCTCTGGGGAGGCAGAGCAGGTAAGTCTCAGTGAGTTCCAGGACAGCCAAGGCTACACAGAGAAACCCTGCCTTTCAACAAACAAACAAGCAAGCAGACACAAAACAGAAGAGGATTGGGCCTCCGGCAAGGAGCTTGTCATTTCAAATTGCAGCCTGTTCTGTTTGTGTTTGTGATGAGAGGTGCAACAAGTGTGGGCCAGGGTGCTGAGATTGCTGGCCAGCTCCCGGCCTCTGCCAGAAGCCCCTTTGGGTGGAGTGGGTCAGCTGCACAGTGAGGGCAGCAGTTGCAGGGATCCAGGCGGTGTGCTCGCTCTCTCTCTCTCTCTCTCTCTCTCTCTCTCTCTCTCTCTCTCTCTCTCTCTCTCTCTCTCTCTCTCTCTCTCTCTCTCTGAGAAAACAGCATGGAGCATGCTCACATCCATTTGTCTGTGTTCTCTGAGTTGTGTTCCTAAGGCTGCCTTCAGTTTCCCTCCATGGTGGATGTTGGATGTGACCTGAAGGGGCAAGCCAAACAACCCTTTCTCCCCAAGTTGCTTTTTTCCTGGGTATTTTGTCATGATAAGAGAAATGAAAACTCCAACCTGAACGTTCATTTGGATCCTGTCCCCTTAGCCCCTCCCCGGGGCCGCTTGCTCCATGTTCTCTGCCTGTGGCACGTGGTTCTTCTGGCTTTCACCATGGCCCAAGGCAGCACAAAGCCGACGTCCAGCTTCTGGCAGGGTCTGCCCATGAGGAATGCTGGGATTTCAGGGAGACTAAGCAGGGGCCCCTCCTGAGGGGGCTGTCAGGAGAGGGACAGTTGTGGGGCCACAGTTGCTTTGGGTACTTTTGGGCTGTATGGGCATGGGGACTCACTCCGGTCTCTTCTCTTTCCAGCAAATGGAAAGAATCCTGAAGAAGGCATCTAAAACCCATAAGCAGAGAGTGGAGGTGAGCACTGCACCTGTGGGACGCCCAGAGCTGTGGGCGGGGCAGTTGGGCTGTTGGAGCACACCCTCAGGCATGCTGCCCCCCAGGCTCACTTGGGTGCTGTGAGTCCTGTGGTGGTGTCTGAGAGGGCTGGGCACAGGGCGGGCACTACCCACCTGGTTCACACTGGTGTGGCCTCTCTTCCACAGGACTTCAACCGACACCTGGACACACTCACCGAGCACTATGACATTCCTAAAGTCAGCTGGACCAAGTAACCTTCCCCTGGTGCAAAAGACAGCCAGGTTGGCTGTATTGCTCCCTCAGTGTTTTCTAGAAAGTTCTACACCTGCCTGAGGCTTCTGCTGAGTCCAGACTGTCTGAAACTTGATTAAAGTCAGGCTGTTCTTTCACTGAGTTTTCGTTTCTGGGTAATATCCTTTCCTATTTGGACTGTTATGTTGTGAGCTGACAGGCTGGGACCATTTCTGGGTGAGGGCCATGGAAGGAGGGTACCCTTCCCAACCCCATTGCAGCCTCTGTCCTCATCTGTACCACAATGCCAGGACAGGAAGCTCCGGCCTGTGGACCACCACAGGACTTCCACAGTGCTGCTCCGTTTGGGCCAACTGGACCTCAGACCACACAGCAGCTCCGGAAGCAAGGATGGGACACAGGCCCCGGCATATAGCCAGTTCCTCAGGCCACCCAGTGGCTGCCATTGCAGACGTTTCTAATCAGCCCAGCTCTCGGTGATGGCACCTGGCACTCTAAGCATATGGCGAGTGTCATGAGCCTGCGAGGCATTCCTGGCTTAAGGACCCCAAGTGCCAGACAGTGCCAGGGCAAAGCATCTGAGAGTCTAGGTGGACCACTTGGAGAACCTGTGCACGCACACTATTGAGAGAAGCAGCTTCTGTTGCCATGGATACTGAAAGAATGGCAGGGATCACTGGAGCTGAGGTGTAGAATAAAGAAGTGCCAATCATGAAGAGTCGAGTGTTGTCTGTGCACGCTGTCCATCACGGGGATCTTTCCGTTCCGCCCCACAGTGAATGCACCGCACGAAACTGCTTGTGGGGCAAGCTTGTGGGGCTTTCCTTTTATATATATACAGAGAGAGACCGAGGAGTGTGTGTGTGTGTGCGTGTTGTCTGTGCACATGTTCCTGCGGAGAGGACCGCTTGAAGGAGGATTGGCTCTCCTTCCACCATGTGGATCCTGGGGGGATTGGATTTTAACTCAGCTTGTGAGACTCAGCTGTAGTGCCTTTACCCACTCAGTTACAGTCCAGGCGACACATTTGTTCCACCTGCCTGAGGGAGATGGCTGGTGGGGTGCGCATACCTTGTCTCAAGTGTTTAGGTCCATTTTGGATTTGGGAATCCTAACAGATTTGGGCAACATATTAATTTTGTGATATGTAATGAGATGTTACAGTGACTGTCATAAGTCTGCATACATTTTGTTTCTATTTCAATTGTACCTTTGTGGTCACTTTATATGAAGTTTTTTGTCTTTGAACATAGTATACAAAATGCACAATCTTCAGAAGAATTTTGTGCATGAGACAGTTAATGGTGTGAGATTTAGTTATTTGGGTTGTGTGTGTGTGCGCGCGCGCGCACACACACACACACACACACACACGAGTGCGTGCACATGCGCGTGTGTTGGGGGGAGGGGGTTGAGACTCACTGTGCATCCCTGGCTGCCCTGAAACACTCTATATAGTCCAGGCTCCTAGATCCTCCTGCTTCTACCTCTGGAGTGCTGGGATTGAGGGTAAGCACCACCACACTGTTTGTTTTTCTTTTGCTTGTTTTACCTAGGTTCTGTAGCTCAGGCTGCAAACCCGCATGCAGTCCTATCAGGAGTTGGGCAAGATGCCTTGGCAGGTAAAGAGGCATTTGCCACCAAGCCTGCAGACCTAAGTTTGAGTCCCAGGACCCACATGGCGGAAGGAGAGAACTGATTGCCACAGGTGTCTCTGGATTCCTCATGCTCACCATAACGCACACAAATGCTGAATAAGAAGGGAGAGAATAAGAAGGAAATGGGTTTATATGATCAAAACATAAAATGTATACATACATGAAATTGACAAAGGATAAATTAAAATTTTTTAAACTGCATCATACTGTGTAACCCTGGCTGGCCTGGAGCACAGATCGGCCTGCCTCTGCCTCCAAGTACTGGGATTGAAGGTACACACTACCATGCCTCACTAAAATTTAGTGCTTTTAAAAAAGACCTAATTTGTGTGTCCATGTTCAGGTATGTGTGCGTGAGTACGGGTGTCACAGAGGCATCAGGTCACCTGGAATCGGAGTTACAGGCAGTTGTGAGGAAGCACATATGGGTGCTGGGAACAGAGGTCTCAGCAGTTAGAAGTGAATACTTCTCCAGCCCTAAATTTTTAAAAACTGAAAAAGGAGCCAGGCGGTGGTGGCGCAGCCTTTAATCCCAGCATTCGGGAGGCAGGTGCAGGCGGATCTCTGTGAGTTCAAGACCAGCCTGGTCTACAGAGCGGGTTCCAGGACAGGCTCCAAAGCCACAGAGAAACCCTGTCTCGAAAAAAAAAAAAGGGGGGTGCGGGGGACCTGCAAGTAAAGATTCCTGTTGCCGAAACTGATAACCTGAGTTTGATCTCTAGGACCCACATAGTGAAAGGAGAAAACTGACCTCCCTGTGTGTACCGGTAACCAGCCACACTTTGCATTAGTGGCTAAATAACACACGTGTTAGTCACCCGGGTTCACTGGAGCAAAACGGGGTGGGGCAGTCTGACAGATTGACACAGGTGACTGCTGATAAGTTTGGATTGCCATTCAGACTGACTTCCTTTAATCGCCACCTTACAGCGAATCACAGCTGGTGACGGGATATTAGTTTACCAGACTTCTGCCGAATGCAAGGCTGACCCAACTCGGTTCCGCTTTCAACCCAGCGTCTGCCCACAGCATCGGGTTCGAAAGCGCTCACCTTCCTACCACCGCCAGTCTGCCAGCCGCCGGCCCGTAGCCCCGCCCAGGCCCCGCCCACCAGGCGGGTCCCGCCCTCCGAGGCTTACTTCCGGCCCGCTTGATCTGTGGATGAAAAATACTGCCCCACAGTTCGTAGTGCGCCTGCACCTACTCTGCTGCGCATGTGCGCACTCGCGGCTTGCCCCTCAGACCGGACATAACGGTCCGCGCGCCGCTTCATGGACCGGAAGTGGAGGGGAAGTGTCGCGGGGCGCGCCGGGCCTTGCTGAACGCCGGCAGTTCTTGCCGTTGCCGCCGCCCTCGGCTATTGCCGAGGCCTTCCAGAGTCGCCATGTCCGCCAGCGCCGTCTACGTACTGGACCTGAAAGGCAAGGTACTGAAGGGCGCTCCACCCTCCGCGTTGCCAGGCAACAGCGGGCCCTCGCCCTGTCGGGACCCACCCTGTTGCTAGGTAACTGGCCGTCCCACCCGGCCAGGGCGTCGGGCAGGCGGGGCAGCCTCACTTGCCGGCCCTGCCCTGTTGCTAGGAAACGGCCGGTGGTCTTTGCGAGCCCCGCCCCACCTCTAGCTCACTTGGTGGGCTGTGGTTGCTAGGTAACCGTCCGTTTTGCCCCTTTCCCGCCTGGTGCGCCCGGGTGCGGGGACCGGCCTGGGCCGTGGACCGGAAGCCGAGGACCCCGCGGCCCCGGGTCGCGCGACCCTTGGCCGGAGGCGTGGCGCGGACTGTGTCCTCGGCTCGGCCCCTTGCTCCGCCGCGCGCAGGCTTCGGCGCTTTCTCCTAGAGCGGCCGCGCTCCCTGTGACATTGACTTTCGAGCCCCGAGTGACAGGGATGCGGTTTTCCTGAGGGGTAAACAGACACTGACGACTGGCAATGGCCATCCGGAAGTCCCACCTCAAGCATCCTTGCTTCCAACCGATGCTTCCAGAGAAGCTAGACAGGGTGCTACTCCTAGGCCCCATGGGTGGGCAGAATCCGCCATGGCTAAGCGCATGGAAAAGCTCAGACACATGAGGAAAGCTTTCCTGACTGGGGAAGAACAAGACTGCCGGGACAGGAAGGCCCTGGACAGAAGCAGGATCCTGGCATCTTCCCCAGGGGTATCTGAGAAAGAAAGCTTCATCCGTGTGTGTTTGTGCAGGTTTGCACATGTTGGGGAGGAAGGAGACCCCGCCACCCTGACAGGGGCCCTTGCCATCACTCAGTCACTGGTCTGACTCAGTGAGGCTGCCTGGCCTTTAAACCACGTGGGTCTGCCTGTCTGTTTCCCAGCAGCTCCCCTTGGTTTTATAAGACAGGGTTTCTCTGTGTAGCCCAGGCCGTCCTGAGCACACTCTGTAGACCAGGCTGGCCTTGACCTCAGATAGGCCTGCCTCTGCCTCAGGAGTGCTGGGATTATATCTGGCATGTGTGTGACTCTTTTACATGGTATCTGGATGTGGCTAATCTGTGGCTTTGTGATACAGAGGCTATGATTCAATCTGTTCAAGGAGCACTCTGCCAGGGAGCCACAGTATGCCCAGTGCAAAAACCTCTTACTGGAATATATGTTCATCCTTCAGAAATGGGCTATCACTATCCCTCAGTCCATCAAAGTAGAACAGGTGGCCAGCCTCTTGTGTTTGGAAGCTACCAGAACAGGTCCAGCCACAGTAAACAAATCCAACATTCCCCATTGAAAGAACATTGGTGTCCTATCCACATGGAAGAGCTGGAGGTATTCAGAAGTGAGGAGGGGTGCCCAAGCCCCAGCCTTTTCCTTAGTCCCTGGAGTGAGTGCCAGCCTTGGATGCCACCCAAGGTCAACAGCTGGTGAGTCCCAGATCTGGACTTCCTCCACAGCCTTCTGGGAACCTAGGTAGGCAGTGTTCCCTATGGCACATGCCCTGCCTTTTGCCCTGGCCTAAAGGTACAGTGGGCTGCCTGTCACGGCTTGCTTGTTCCTTTAGCACATCTCATTGGCGCCTAGTACGTGCTCCCTCCTGGACTCAAGCTGTAGAAGTAGACTCGTGCAGATTCAGCCGTCTCCGCAGCTGAGGTGTGTGACCATAGACCCCTCCTGTGGCCTCTCTGAGCTTCGCCTTCCCGGCTGCTCTGAAGAATCTCACCTGGGTATTACAGGTGCGACTCGGGCCTGACCCTGCACATGGTACAAAGAGCATGGAATTCAGGCCCCACAGCCAGGTTGCTGCCTTCTCTTTGGCAAGCAGAGCTGGGCACCGGAGCTGGTTCTGAGGAGGTGACAGGTATCCTAGTTGGCATTCGGGCACAAGGCAGCCCACAGACTGGTGGTGGCACCTCTAGGGCTCCAATGGGAGGAGGCCCCAGGGCGCTGCAGTTCCAGGAAGGAGGCCCATGACGGGGTGAAGCAGACCTGCCTGTGGAAAGTCCCTCAGAGGGACTGTAGAACTCCCTGCCTCCTGCCAGAAC